TAAATTTCATCATGAAGATCACCGTGCAAGAAGGCATTCGAGATATCAAATTGTAAAGTTGACCAGCCACTGTGGAGAGCAACAAGAAGAAGAATTCGAATGGTAGGAATCTTAACCACCGGACTAAAGGTCTCATTGTAGTTTATGCCAAACTCTTGAGTGAAACCTTGAGCAACCAATCTTGCTTTGTATCTCTCAATTTTTCCATCAGGTGACTGTTTAATCTTATAAATCTAGCGGCAGCCAAGGACATTAGCATGAGATGGCTGTGGAACAAGTGACCAAGTACCCAGTTTTTGCAAGGCAAGAAACTCTTCTGACATAGCATCACGCCAATGTTTATGTTTAATGGCTTGATGTAGGTGTTGGGAAGCATAGAAGACGTGGATTGAGTAAACAAGTCAAAGATCGGTTTTGGACGATGTATACCCATTTTGAGTCTAGTTTGCATAGGGTGTAGAGAGATAGGATTCTGAGGTGGAGGTTGAATATGATCTGAGGAAATTTGGATGGGTGAAGTGTGAGATGGTGAAGCCGGAGTAGATTGAGAAGTAGCAGATTGAGATATAGAATGTTCAGGTGGAATATGGGACATGAATCTGTTTGGAGAACTTGGAGCAATAGTTGAAACTGGTAGGAGAAGATATGGATTTGATGAGGAAATGGAGGAATGTGGAGAAGGTGAAGGAGGGACTGAGTTGAATGGAAAGGTTTGTTTATGAAAAATAACATGACGGGAAATATGAATTTTATTTGTAGTAAGATTTAGGCAACGATAACCTTTATGAGAGGAGGAATATCCTAGAAAAATGCATTCTTGAGAGCGAGAAGAGAGTTTATTCGAAGCAAGAGGTTGTAACCATGGAAAGCATAGACAACTGAAAGTTTTTAAATGTGAATAATTTGGAGGTGTTTTGTACAGAAGTTGAAAGGGTATGCTGAGATTGGCGGCTTTGGTGGGTAACCGATTAATAAGATAGGTAGCGGTGAGAAGGGCTTCAACCCAGAAATGATGTGGGAGAGAGGCTTCAAGTAGAAGAGCTCTAATCGTGTCTAGGAGATGGCGATGTTTTCTTTCGGCGATGCCATTTTGTTCAGGAGTGTAGGGACAACTTAATTGGTGTGTAATGCCGTTAGAGAGGAGAAATTGTCGAAATGCATGACAGATGAATTCACCACCACCATCAGAGCGAAGTGTTTTAATTTTTTAGTCAAATTTAGTTGAGACAAGATTGTAGAATTGTTTAAATTTTGATAAAGTTTCAGATTTGTGTTGCATTAAGAAGAGCCAAGTGTAGTGAGTATAGTCATCTATAAAAAGTACATAGTAACGAAAACCATTAATAGACGATATAGGAGCTGGACCCCAAACATCGGAATGTATTAACATAAAAGGTTTAGATACATTAGAGCTAGAAGAAGAAAAGGATAGTTTATAGCTCTTGGCCATATTACATGATTTGCAAACAAAATGAGAATTGGGAGTACATATAGAAGTAACTAATTTAGCTAAGTGTTGATGAGTTCTGATATTTGGATGTCCAAGCCTAGCATGCCAAATAGTTGAATTGAAGGAGGGCGAATGAAGAGCTTTTTGATTGTTGACAAATGGAATGTTGATGGAGTAGATGCCATCACGGCTGTGTCCACGGATGAGGATATGATTGTCCTGTAAGTCCTTAATAAGAAAGCCATTTGCATTAAAAGAAATAGAACAGTTATTATCTTTTGTTAGTTTGTGAATGGACAAGAGATTATGTGAAAGTAGGGGAACATAAAGTAGATTTCTTAGTTTGAGCTTACGGGTTGATTCGGGAAGAGGAAGGATTCCCTGACCCGAATGTTGTATAGGCAGTGAGTTACCATTAGCCGTCGAAATGGTGTCGGTTCCGGTGTAAGGCATGGGAAAGTGAAGATTGGAGGCATCTGGTGTAAGGTGAGATGAAGCACCAGAATCAAGAATCCATCCGTTGCTTGTATTGGGTAAATTACTAGTCAGAAGAGCCTTTGATGCAGAAGCTGAAGAATAGGCGTAATACTCAGCGTTAAAGCGATGCCAGCAGTTTATTGCAACATGTCCAGATTTTCCACAAATTTGACAGGTCGGACGTGTTTGATTAGTCACAGACGAACGATTGTTCGAATTTGGCCTGAAGGGAGCTCCACATCCTCTGCTTCCTCTGTAATTTGACCGTCCGCAGGATGTAGATGAAGAGCGACTGGAATACAGTAAAAAACGCCTTTGCGCAATTCCAGTAAAAAATGCCTCGATGCTTACGCCTCAAGTTTTTTTTATGAGGCTTGTGCCTCAACTTGGTTGAGGCCCGCCTCGACTCACTGGCATAAGGCTTACGCCTCACGCTATATATATTAAAACTTACATAAATCTTGAAGTAAATGCCCGACATTGGACTCTATAGGAGAGGAGGAAGGGTAGAGAGCAGTTCATCATAATGATGATTCAAATGAAGAACCCCTTAGTGATGACAAAGCTGATGACTTATGAGTTCTTATGTGATATGTCATTGATATTTATTTTTGAAATTTGAATTATATGTTAATGAAAAGAATACTGAGATTTGGGAAAGATAGAATTTTGAGTTAAACTATATTTCATGTTGTCTTATTATTGGGATATTTTGATTTCACTTAATATCTTATGCTTTTTTATATTTTATATTATTCACTCATTAGTATATAAAAAATTTATCATTTTATGTTTACGCAATATTTTGATTTTGAGGCTTACGCCTCAAAACCCCTTGAGGCTTATGCCTCGCCTCACGAATGAAAAACGCCTCAATACCCGAATACGCAATTTTAAACATTGGGTAAAACGGCTGGAGAAATCGTAGAGAGAAGAGCTGAAACCAGATTTTGCTCTATTAGATTCCACATCTTGTATTCGGCAGGGTTGGTTTCAGCAACAGATGCATCCGGCTTGGCAGTGAGTCCGGTGAGGTAGCCATCAAAGCCATTAGCTGAAAATAGTAGAAAAATCTGCAATCTCCATATAGGATAGTTGTCACTGGTTAACTGATTTGGATCAATCAGTTTGAAGTTTGTCATAAGAAATTTAAGAGGAGAAGGAACAGTAAAATCTGCCATGACTACATACACCGAAGACAGCTGTTGTGCAGCTGCGGTCTGAGAAGATGATGAAGAAGCAGAGCCTTGTTCTGCCATGAGAGATGCGAATACTCAGCTTCTCGAGAGAGGCTCTGATATCATGAAAGAGTCTTGTACCTACAGAGAGATTAGTAAGAAGGCAGAAATACAAGAGCAAAAACCAGAGCGCCTTTCATTACTATAAAACCTCTCATATGTCAAATTACAAAAGGAGTATATATAACTCCAAGCACATATGAAATAATGACACGTGGCCAGTTGGTTAGACGTAGCTTTATGCAAGTGGAGCAGTCGTGTATGGAGCAGAAAATATGCATAATATTTCATGTGCTCTGACAAAGGGGCGGTCCATGGTGGTAAGGTCCCACCCAAAAATCTAATGGCTAAGTGATACCATCAATTGAGCATTAATTTTGCCAATGGATAGATAAATAGAAAGCTTATTTAATTAATACAAATCAATTAACTAATGAGAACTCCACAGATTCTCTAATAATTAAGCTTAAAATACCCTGTCAGTTGGGGCTTATCTCTAATAGTCCAATCATAAACTCACAACTCAAAATTTTGGAGCCTCGCTTCTTTGACATCCAATCAAGTGCTAAGCCACCGTTTACTCAAAAATAACAGAGAACAAAAAAGATAAAAAATTAAACATCTAATACTCAAGTAATACAAGACATTAACATATCCATCCGATGATTAAATTTTGGTCATACTCAAAACTTTGAAATTCACAATTAAAACCTTGAACTTAGTAATTAAATAAGTGATTGTTTAGGTTTTGAATCTCTTGGTATGGCAAGAAATCGACCATCCTAGCTAACTATAACTAAGAGGGGTCCCGGTTCAACATCGAACAACTAAGGCTCATTCATATGGGCTATGTCGTTTAAGGTCAGTTTGCCCAAATAGGAAATTTTGTAGGATTTCATTCATTTAAAGAGAGACTTGGGTGGCTATGGTGCTACTTGTGATCTTAGTTGGCCCATCAAATCCATGAATCTAAGTGGATTTTGGGCATGATAGCTGCAAGCCATAGGTAACTAGCTACAATACCAAAAATATAACAATAGAAAGTCACATATAATAATAAACATGTAAACTAAGCCTAACAAAGCAACAAGTCATGTGATGATAGAAAGGCCTTTTTTTCCGTACAACGCCATGACGCTATGTACCCGAGCGGCCAGGCACTGTATAATTTGGTGAAAAAACACAAAAAGTGGAGCGCTGCGATGCTCCAAAGCTTAGTGCGGCGATGCTGCTAGTGGGTGCTATTGCGCTCCAGACCCTGGCGTTGCGGCGTTGTCATACAGATATGAGACAGAGAATTGAGCATCACAGCATTGCTAGGCGAACATAACAATTTTTTTTCTCGTATTTCATTAAGGATTGCATCCCTTGGTTGTTGTTGTGAATCTCTTGATTTGTTCATGTGAAAGAACAATGCTAGAGAAGAGAGACAAGGAGAGAGTGAGAGAGATGAGAGATCTATATTATTTCTCCCAATTTTCATAGTGTATTTTTTGGTGTGATGTGGCTCCATGCTTTTTTCCAGTTTCAGGTTTTTCCAAGTTAAATCCTAATGTTTTTTTGCTTTTTGCTGTAGTTTTCTATTTATTGCTTGTTTCGTTGCTTGGTTTACTTCTACCCAACAATTATTTTGCCTCAATAAGAAAGGATTGCATATTTGAAATCATTCCAATTTAGAAGGATATTGTGTAAACAAAATGCAAGCAGTTTTATGGATTCAATACTAAGGTCCCTTTCTTCAATCACTTGGCTCCATGTACCATCGGTCCATCAACAATAAGAGAGGTAAAAAACTAAGAAACATAAGAACCAAAATAAATGATTAAAAAGAAGACCTTCTTTGCTTCGCTGGTCGGCGGGAAGCGACCGGAGTTCTTTCTTGATTCTGGATCGAAGAGCATGCTTCTGCTCGGCGACAGACGGGTGGACGACGGCACCAGAGGTGGACATGGCGGCGCTAGGATTGAGGGCGCCGGAGAGTATGCAAGAGGAAGAAAAGATCCGCACGTGGGAAGCCAGAAGGACTTGGTGGTTGATCATTGCCAATCTCGCCTTTTGTAGGAGGCGGAGGAAGAAAAGATCCTGCTTTTTAGTTGCTTCTTAAAACAACTTTCTATTACAAAATTTAAAAAAAAAAATTTATTAAAAAGTTGCTTTTAAAAGCAACTAGAAAGCCATCCGAAACGAAGCCTTAGTCTTTGGTAGTTGACTTCCATGGCTAGCTTACTTCTGGACTTCATGTTGTAAAACTTTTGACCTTGAACAGATCTAAGTAAGGGTGTCAAAATCAAGGTTGTGAAAATCAGACCAGACAACGAATTGGAAGGAGGGGTTCATGATTTAATGGTTCAACCGGAGTCGAATTAAGGTTGAAGTAGATGACGTAATAAATATATATCAAAAAATAATTACTAGGCATATAATCATTTAAACTTAATTATTGATCATGTAATTTTTTATTTTTTATTTTAGTTCTTTAGTTGAAATAGATAGCTACCTTCATTGCAAAACAAAAATAATTATCGGAGTTTGAACTTTAAGATCAATCAAAACCTGCATTAATCAAACATTCAAAGGTGCAGGGCATTGTTCTTCACCTCTGATATCCTTTATTTAAATCCACATTTATTTTTTTACCAACTATTTTTCATCTCACAAAAGATCGTAAAAGCCGTTCAAAAAATATCTTATATTTCATTTTTTAGTTAAAAAATAAATAAATAATCAATAAATAAATAAAAGGAGCTCAAAATAGTCCATGACTATACATATATAGCTACTTTAATCTTAGAGTGTCATATTTCTCCAATTTAATTTCTTGACTATAAAATTTAATCTCAAATGATCCCTAATAACTAATTGGGACCAATTTTGTATCCCAATTTTCATCAATTTATTTTCGATGGATCATTTGATATCAATTTTGTATAGTCGAATAACTAAGTTGGAATAATATGATACTCTTTGACTAAATTGATCATATTCAAATAATTGAAAAATCAATTGAAGTTTCTTGTCTTTATAAGAGGTTAAAAAAATGATCAGTTTTATGACGGGTTCGCTTGGAACGGCTTTTTTATTTCTTATTAAAGTAACTTTTTAGTTCAAAATTTTTTTATTTTTTTAACTAAAAAACTACTTTAAGAAGCAGTAAAAAGACTGTCCCAAACGAATCCTAAGTTTACACCAAATTAAATAGATAGATCTCATTGGTTTCTAAGAAAATAAATTCACTCCACCTGATCTGAAACAACCATTTGATGGCACAACTTTCAGCAGTACCAAAGAGATTGCTCCTTCTCTAAGAGAGATGAAACCGGCTTCCAACATATAGCTTGAAGCCGGTGTCATCTCTCCTAGAAAAGGATATGCAACTCTCTCCTTCTTCTCTATTTTACTTCTCTATAGCCTTTGTCACTTCTACTTGTGAATGATGGAGGAAAATGAGCAATCTCACAGCTCTATATATATGTTTTTCTTTTTGCCTGCTTATAGTCTCTTCATTCATATTCTGAATGAACAATTCAGCATCTCATGATTTTGAATTGTTCTTCCTTTTGCTTTCACACTGACTGAGATCTACGAAGAAATTGAATATTATTCAGGTTTTGAAACTGTTCCTAAAGACTTGAAATTGAATATTATTCGTGTGTGAATGTTGACCGGGAAAGAAAATCTGTGGTTTTCCTTTTAGGTTGACTGATGTCATTCCTTTTAGGTTGACTGATGTCATTCTTTCATTCTTTGCTTTCTTCCCATTGGGCTAAAGCTTCAAGGCTTTTTCAAAATGAGAGAAGATTGTGTGAAAGCAGGATATTCTAACTTGGGCTTTTTTTTTTTTTTTTTTTTGGAAAATTAAGGGCTTAGCACAAATTCTATTAAGTAAAGAAACTAGTTACATGTGTAAGAGGATCAAGTAAAAACCAAAATTTGAGGAGGAACCTCAACATAAAATAAAAGTGATCACCAACAAGGTGCAAAAATTACACATGTCAAAAAGCTCAAAAAAATAAAGGGAACCCCTCACAAAAAGACTAAGGGGGGCCTTAGAAAATTGAGGTTGTGTTAAAGAACTGTCCCGCAACAGCCCCCGGTTGCGGAGATGCCTTCCTGAATAAGTTGCAAAATAACCACCATCCAATAAGAATGAAGAAAGCAACCTCATCATCATTGCCCAGCAGTCGAAAACATAACCAGCCAGCACATTCCTAAGAGCCAGAAAAATCGGAAAACATGCAACAGTCTGGATGCAAAACCTTGCCCAGCAATTAAGAACATACACAGCTAGCACAGTCCGAAGGGCCAGAAAAATCGAAAAACAGCCAAACGACAGGAAGAAAAGGCTTCAAGAGTTACAGTAAGTGCAGAAATTCATCACCATTTTTCCACTTAGCAATTTTGAGTCTAATGGCATTTTCAATTATCAACTGAATAGTAGAATAGCTCTTAAAATTGTTAGAAAATTTCCTATCATTCTACTCCTCCAAATGAAATAAATTGCAGCCCAAAGAACAATCAAATTAAAGTATTTCTTGCTTCCTAGAATAGTTATAATTTTCTATAGTTTCCACCACTTGGCTGAGATTAGGCCTCATAAGAAACTTTCTTAAAACTGGTAAGAGATCCCATAAGATAGCATGAGAGTAATCACAATCAAAGAAAAGATGAGACGTACTTTTAGATTTTTTGTTGTAGAGAGAGCATATGGGATTAACCTCAATGTTTCTTCGGAGTAGAGAGTCAGTAGTTTTAAGACCTCCCGTAAAACATAATTAGCCAAAAATAGAAAAACGTAAAGCCCGATATTTATGCAACACCGATTTATGCCAGACCACTTCATTTTCTAGTTTATAAAAATCTTGTAAAAAAGATTTAAATTTAGACTTATCACCATTAAGCCAGCTTAAGCAATTAGCATTACCCTCATTAAAAATTTGAATGCGATTAATAGTAGACAACATATCCGAATGACAGCCCAAGGGGAGCTTCCAGCCAGAGGTGTCATAAAGCATAGAGAGTTGGGCGTGATCAGAGAAGCAAGAAGTGAGAGATTGGTGATATTGCAAATCTAGTTATCAGTTCCCATTACACCAATGATCCCATTTAAGGCTCATAGGACAATCACTAGTGACTTTAAAGCTAAAATTGTTTTTGGTAAAATTGGTTGTACATCTCACAGATACTTCTCCACATCACAGAAGATGACTGAGGGGGGTTTTTCTAGTGAGAAAAATAGTTGGCGAAGATCCAAGAAGATAAAGGCGATGGGTTATTGTTGTAAATCCTCAAAATAAGAAAGCAGTTGAAGCAATATCTAAGGGCTTGGAAAGAGAGGAGACCCAAACCTCCCATATCTTTAGGTTTGCAAGTGTTAGCCCAAAAAACTAAGTGAAGTTTCTTTGCTTGAAGATCTCCAAAAAATAGAAACTTAGCAGCAATTTTTTTGATTTGTTTACAACAAGTTTTGGGTATAATTGCTCCACGGATCCAATAAGCAATGATGTTCCATATAGTGAATCAGAGAAATTGAAGCCTACATGCAAAAGAAAGAGTTTTTGCTTTCCAACCGTAAAATTGTTAGTAATAATATCAATGAGGTGATAGAAGTCAGATAAAATGGTTATCTTGATGCAAATAGGGATTCCCAAATAGGTGAGTTTAGAGCAAGAGGTGGGAATGTGAAAAGAAGCACAGATATCCACAGTATAGGGGTTGGAGTGGCGAAGAATGATAACACTTTTATCTGGGTTAATATTTAACCCTGTGGAGCTAGCAAAAACATGAAGAATGTGATTTAAGGAGTTGCAATTCTCTATTGGTTTTCCCAAAAACGAGTAAATCATCTGCATATAGTAGGTGTGATATGTGGAAACCATTAATGTCCACGGCCTGAACGTTTGTGATAACTTTTTTACTACTTTCTAAGTCAGCTTTCTATTAATTTTTTTTTTAAAGTACTAAAAAACCATTTTATAAAGTAATAATACGAAAGTTGTCCCAAACGGGACCTTAGGCTTGGTTTGGAACGGTGTTTTTTTTTTTGTTGCTTCTTAAGGCAAATTTTTAGTAAAAAATAATAATAAAAAATTTATTGAAAAATTATTTTAAGAAGCAGTAAGAAAGTCATTTAAGACAACTTTCTTATTGATTTTTTAAGTAACTTTTTTAGTTAAAATTTTCTAGTTAATGAATTTTTATCCTAAAAAGTTTAATGAAAAAGCTGTCTCAAACAAAGCCTTAATTTTCATAAGTAATTAAGATCTTATAAAATGTTATTCATGTCATTTTTTTATGACATTTGTTGTATTGATTACATAAAAATATTTTAACATTTTACTATTTTGTTATACATTCTATTGCAAACATCTCCTTTGTTTTTGAATTTATCTACAAATCATAATTACATAATTTTATGTGAGTTAGATATAATAGAGATATAATGTGTAAAATTATTTAGATTTATAGTTAATAAAAATGGGTTAGAATATCCTAACTTTTGTTTTTTATTCAAAACAAAGATGATTTAATAATTTTCCATCTGTTATTGTCTCAACATTTAATGTTGAGGTTACTTATGAAAAAATGCACACATTCGTCTGAACTTAGGAAGAATTATGTTCTAAAATCATAGAAAAAATTATTATTCATAACTTTATATTATTGCTGCTCTATAATTGTTTTAGTGTTATAAAATTCAAAGTTGTAGAGAGAGAATTTTTTGTCTTAATATTATGTAAAGAACTCGCATACAAAGAGATAAAATAAGTCAAGAGCTACTAAAAAAAGACACAATATTTATTTATATAAAAATTCAGAAAAAGGAAAATCATAAAATAGGACCTAGTCGAAATAATTTAATTGAATTATATTATTCATTACAAATGATGATGCCCATCCTTATAATTGAAAAATGTGTTGATAATACATAATAGACATAAATTGTGGGGGATGACTTCCATAGAGGAAGTTTGAGAAGCTAAGGTGTTGGAGTTATTTTCAATTCATAGTTGATAGAACATTGGTTCATTAGTTCATTCTTCTTCCAAGAGGGGAATCTAGAGACCAAAAAGTTC